ATATATATATATATATATATATATATATATATATATATATATATATATATATAGATAGATAGATAGATAGATAGATAGATAGATAGATAGATAGATAGATATAGATATATATAGATAGATATAGATATAGATATATAGATAGATAGATAGATAGATATAGATAGATAGATATAGATGGATGATAGTGATAGATAGATGATAGATAGATAGATGATAGATAGATATAGATAGATATAGATAGATGATAGTGATAGATAGATGATAGATAGATGATAGAGATAGATAGATATATAGATAGATATAGATAGATGATAGATAGTGATAGATAGATGATAGATAGATAGATGATAGATAGATATAGATAGATATAGATAGATGATAGTGATAGATAGATGATAGATAGATGATAGAGATAGATAGATATATAGATAGATATAGATAGATGATAGATAGTGATAGATAGATGATAGATAGATAGATGATAGATAGATATAGATATAGAAAGATAGATAGGTGATAGATAGATGATAGATAGTGATAGATAGGTGATAGATAGATAGATAGATAGATAGATAGATAGATAGATAGATAGATATAGATAGATAGATGAGATTATAGGGATGGATGGATAGATCAATGGTAGATAGAACATGATATATGTATATATAGATACTGTAGATGATTATATGGCTGGATGGATAGATCGATGCTAGATAGATAGAATATATGATGGCTACACAGACAAACAAATAGATAGATAGCACATAATAGATGGATGGATGGATAGAAGAAAGACGGATAGATGGATAGATAGATGAATGGATGGATGGCTAGATAGAAGAGAGGGATAGATAGATGAGAGATTAGAGGGATGGATGGATGGATTGATGATGGATGGATAGATAGAAGAGAGGGATGGATAGATAGATAAGAGATTATAGGGATGGATGGATTGATGATAGATGGATGGATGGATAGATAGAAGAAAGAGAGGGATGGATAGATAGATGAGAGGTGGATGGATAGAAGAGAGGGATAGATGGATAGATGAGGGATGGATAGATAGAAGAGAGGGATGGATAGATTGAGAGATTATAGGGATGGATGGATAGATTGATGATAGATGGATGGATAGAAGAGAGGGATAGATGGATAGATAGATGAATGGATGGATGGATAGATAGAAGAGAGGGATAGATAGATGAGAGATTAGAGGGATGGATGGATTGATGATAGATGGATGGATGGATAGATAGAAGAAAGAGATGGATGGATAGATAGGAGAGGGATAGATGGATAGATGATTATAGGGATGGATGGATAGATGGATGATAGCTAGATGGATGGATGGATGGAGGACACCCTGGGAGAAAGGCACCTGGGGCCACCTGGGGAACGCAACGCCTGACTAATTTCCAGTTCTCCTTTGCGCCATCCGAAGCTCCAGGGTGGGCGATTGGGGGAAGAAGGCCTGGTTGCCCCTGGAGGCTGGAAGAAGCTCCACCTGCTCTTAGGCCCCCAGGAGCCGAGGAGACGCAGCCGCCCCCTTGTCCTGGGGTGGGATTTCCACCCGTCAGCCGAGGGTCAAAGGATACAAGCCCTCCATCAGGAAGCGTTCCATCAATCTGGAAAAGAGGGAGAGCGACCCGTTGAGGGAGATTCTGTGGGAGGAGGCCAGGCAGAGCCCCAGGGGTGGGTGGGGAGGGGGACGGAGGGGGGGGTGTCAAATGCATCATGGGTCTGGAGTCCTTACGCCCCCAAGAGAGACCGAAGACCAGCCCCCTCCTTCCCCCCCTCCCTCCCCGTGAACTCCACTGACTCCCAACCGGCCCCAATTTGTCCTGACCGTTACTAGACCAGATTCTTCGGAGTACAGGTTGTCCTTGACTTACGACGTTTCGTTTAGTGACCGTTCAAAGTTATGATGGCACCGAAAAAAGGAAACCTATGGCCATTTTTCACACGACCATTTCAGAGTTCCCGGGGTGAAAATTTGGACGCTTGACAATTGACTCATATTTATGACGGTTGCAGTGTCTGGGGGGGGGGGAGGGTGTCCCATGATCCCCTTTTGTGACCTTCGTGCCAGCAAAGTCCTTGGAGGAAGCCAGATTCACTTAACAACCGAGTTACTAACTTAACGACTCACTTAACAAATGTGGTCATAAAAAGTGGGGCAAAACTCACTTGACAAATTTCTCAGTGAGCAACATAAATTCTGGGCTCGATTCTGGTTGTAAGTTGAGGACCACCCATAGGTACCATGGAATATATTCTCATTGTTCTCAAACTCTTATCCTGGCTGCTGGTCTCCTGCGTCCAACAGATTTTGGGCCAACCATTAAACCAAGCGGGTTTCCTTTGGGTTCCCATCCATCATCCCTTCCCTGGCACCACCACACCCCTAATGCCCAGCTGAAGTCCACCCCCGTGGGAGGAAGCTGAGCCCAAAGGGAAGAACCGAAGGCTCTCCCCAGAAATGAAGAGAAGCAGGAATAAAGGAGATGATCTGTAGGGTCGAACTGATGGGTCCCTGGTGGTTTTCTGGCAGGCGTTTCATGACCCAGCTAAGCAACCTTATCAGGGCTGGGAGGTGATGGGGTTTGTGGAGAGGAGGAGGAGGAATGATGACTAGGGATTCTCTGAAGTTGGGGGCTTTCTTGCAGACCTTTTATGACCCAACCAGGTAACAGCATCAGTGCTAGCACTACCACCGATTATTGTGACATAGTCTGCAAGAAAACGATCAAACTCAGAGAGCACCAAGGACGCCACAGTCCTCCTCCCTCTCCCTTTCTCCTTCTCTTGTTCTTTCTCTTTCCCCTCCTCCTCCATCGCTCCTCCGCACCCAACCTTTCCTCCCTCTTCTTTTCTTTCCCTCCTTCTCCTCTTCCATCCCTTCTCCTTCCTCTCCTCCCTTCTAGCACTGATGATCTTCCCTGAAAACTTCTCAGCTGATGGTGGGAAGCACAGCTGCCTCCTTTCCCCAAAGACAGCTGTGTGTGTGAGGTTGTGTAACCCAGTGTTTCTCAACCTTGGTGACTTTAAGTCCTGTGGACTTCAACTCCCAGAATACCCCAGCCAGCTGTGCTGGCTGGGGGATTCTGGGAGTTGAAGTCCACAGGACTTAAAGTCACCAAGGTTGAGAAACACTGGTGTAACCTGTCTTGCGCGACTCAAACAGACCCCCGTCGAGTGAGCGGTGGATGTCTCGGCTGAGAGAGGGAGGGGCTCCGACCCCCGGGATTCCCCAGTCAGCCTGGCCCTAGAGACCATCTAGACGTGCGCATCAGAGCCCCTGGACCCTCTAGCGGAGTTGCTGGGCCCTCGGGTGGCCCCAAGGGCAAGAGGCCCCCTTCTCGCCCGGGACCTCCACCTCGCTTGCCCCACTCCCACCCGTGGGGCAGTTGAGCCCCCCTCTGCCCCTATAGGCCACGGTGGGTTTCTGGGATGGGAGAGGGGGCGATGGGCGGTCCAAACGGACTCAGCGACCCCGTCCCGGACTGCAGAGTTGGGGGGTGGGGGTCGCGACTGGGGCTCTGGAAGAGAGGGGGGGCGCAGAGCAGCGGACGGTTGCGCGGCTCCCAACGCTCCCCTGGGACTGGGGGTGGGTGGGTGAGGGAGGAGACCCTCCTCTGGGCGGCGGGGAGGGGGCGGGGGTCTCCGGAGGCCACTCACTTGGACTTGCCCACCGCGCTGTCGCCCAGGCAGATGATCTTGACGTTCTCCTCCGCGTCGTACTTCTCCTGGTCCAGGGCGGCGTGGGCGGGCTCCCCCTCGGGACCCCCCGGCTTGGCCATGCGGCGCCCACCGCCCCGCGAGAGGCGGGGGAGGAGGGGGGGTCTCTGGGGGAGGAGGAAGCCTCAGCCCGGATCCCCGCAAAGCCGCCTCGCTCCGACCCCCGGCTCTACAAGGCTGCCGTCTCCCCCGCCCGCTCCCCGCCCAGCAGACGCCGCCTCGGCTGCCAGGCGACCGGCCGGATGCTGCGCGCGGCCCCGCGGGACTCGCCCCGCTGCCGCCCCCTCGCTAAGCCCGACGAGGAGGGCGTGCAAAAGCCGTGCAAAAGCCGCGCAAAGCCTCCCCCGCGAGCCCGGGCTGGGAGGCGGCAGGAAGGGTGCAAAAGCGTCGCACTTGCGCCTCTCTTCCTGCTTCCCTTTGCAAAGCGGGGGAGGAGGAGGGGAGCGTGCAAAAGTCTGCCGCGGCCTCCCGCTTCCCCTTGCACGCCGGGTGGGGTGGGGGGTGGGGAACGCCAAGCGTGCAAACGTGCCCCAGTTGCGCCTCTCTTCCTGCTCCCCCTTGCAAACCGGGGTGTGTTTCAGGGGGAAGCGGCCAGCCTGGAAAGCGGCGGGCCGAAGTGTGCAAAGGACGCTTGCAAGGGAGAGGGAGGTGCCCAAACATGCAACTGTCCCCTCTCGCTTCCAGCTGCCCCTTGCACCCCCATGTGCGTGGGTGGGTGGGGGTCCCAAGCGTGCAAAAGCGCCCCGGGCACCCTTCGCTTCCGGCTCCTCCTGGCCGGTCGGGGCGGGGCGTGCAAAAGCGTGCAAGGGCGTCCCAGCCCCGGAAGGGGCCGTGCTGGTGCACACGTGCGTCTCCCTTCCTCTGCCTCGCAGCGGAGGGACCCCTCCGCCCCCCCCAGGCGCAAGATGAGAGCCTCCTGGGCGGGGCTGCAGCGGGCCCTGCAGCTGACCCTGGCCGTCGCCAAGCCCGACGCGGTGGCCCACCCGCTGGTGCTGGAGGTAAGGGCCAGGGCAGGCCGGGAGGGGGGGGGGTGGCGCAAGGGCCGCCGCTGGAAATAGCCCCCTCCCCTCCCCAAGCTTTCCGGAGCAGAGTTTCTCCCCCCTGGGGGGGGGACTTCCAAAGCTGGCTGAGGCATCCTGGGAGTTGAAGTCCACCTTCCTTAAAGCGACCAAGGGGGTGGGGGTGGGGGGGAGAAGCCACATGCTAGACCTCTGATGGCAAACCCACGGCATGTCTGCCACGTTCCTCCAGCTTAGCTCCAGCGCACATGCGCGGGGTCCTCCCAATGGCCAGCTGGTTTGGGGGTCTCTGTCCTGGATGTGCAGGGTGCCACGTGTGCAGGGGGTCCTGTGCATGGGAGCAGGGTCAGGCGTGTGCACAGGGGTGGGGGGAGCACGGGGGGGTTATGAGGGCATGCGTGGGGAGGCGGAGCACACAGGGATGTCACACGCGCATTGTATTATGGGTGTGCATGTGCTTTTGGCATGCAACAACCACACGCAAAAGGTTAGCCATCACTTCCAGACTAAGAGCTGTGGTTGATGTCAAGCTTGTTCTTGAGAGTGTCCAAGAAGCCTGGATGAAGCAACACGCATGCAGGACCCCAAGGAAAGAAGGACACGGCCAGTGGCACCCACACACCTCTTCCACTGCCACATCCCACTCCTCAGCTATTATGGAGGCTTCACATCTCGCCAGTTAAGCAGCGGAAGGAGCACCGTCTGCTGGCCTTGACCCAGCCCTGGGGGTCCACTGGATGCTTCTAGGGCCGGTGCACGGATGGAAAGCTTCCCCCTGCCCCATCTGAAGTTTTGTAGTGTTGTGATGGGTCAACAAGGGTCACCTCCAGAGGCCCACGGGTCAAGGAGCATCCCGCCTTCTCAGGACGGCCGTTGACGTGGCTGTCCTCCTCGCATTTTGAGGGCATGAAGATTTCTTTGGGCTCCACACTTCCACATGTGGTGGAGGTGTAAGAAAGCGAGGAATTACTGTGTGGAAATTCATAATTGGCTAGGAAGGAGAACTGAGCGACATAATTGCGTTTACACCAGACACCTGCCTTTCAGGCATTCCGACAGTTATGACGAAGCAGCAATATATTTCGTCTTATATGGGGGAGGGAAGGGAGAAGGATGGAGGGAAGGAAGGAGGGAAGGAAGGAGAGTAGGAGAGAAGAAAGGAGGGAAGGAAGAAGTAGGAATGTTGTAAGATAAGATGGAGTTATGGGATGTTAAGAAAGCAATTTCAAGTATATTGTCAACTGCAGGGGAAAAAATTGCTATAAATACATATTATTAATAACACTTATGAGATCATATAATTGTGAATGTATATATGAAATTAATAAAAATTTTCAAAAATAATAATAATAAAAAATATTTCCTCTTATATATATTGACGGCAGCAAGACTCATATGTGCTAAATATTGGAAAAATGCGAACACCCCACCGGTCGACGATATAATTAGGAAAATTTGGGATTGTGCTGAAATGGATAG